TCTATAAAATACAGGGCTAGATGAGGCTACAATCTAACAATCCCGGGATATGTCCATTTTCTTCTTCTGCTCCACTTATAGCATCTATACCCTCTTGCGGATCATCAATGTGGAGAAGCGGAGAGACACAGCCAGGGGCAATCGTTACCTGGTGGAACTAGAACTGATGGAGAGAGGCCAGAGGACAGTACGGCTCTCCGAGTACATCTACGTCCTACTCCACCAAGGCAAGTCAGAGGACAGCACAGAAGTCAACCCTGAGGGGCCTGCGACTCTCTCCACCGAACCTCAGCCACCACCTAGTGCCTGGAGCTTGCTCTATGGGAAACCTATCCTCTGCCGACCTCTCCGGCTCAGCTGGAGGCATGATGTCTTGGTGCATTTTGTGGTGCCAGGTGAGAGACCTGCGTCTCAGGGATGTGGGCTGCTTTCTGAGGAACCAATGCTATACTTTGGAGGGGGCCGGGAAGACCTCGTGAATTTTGAATAGTGAATTTTGTTAGAGTGGTTTGGCATTTGGCTTCATTCCCTCCAAGGCAAACATGCATTCATTCTCTCTTACTCCCTGTTTCTCCGAAAATAAGACCTACCCTGAAAATAAGTCCTAGTAAGATTTTTCAGGATGCTCATCATATAAGCCCTAGCCCAAAAATAAGCACTGGTTAAGTGAAACCCTGCATTCACCTCTGTGTAGCATTGTGTAGCAGTCAGAAGAAGATGACATGACTGTATTTGAATGAATGTAGATTGTTGTACATGAAAAAAATACAACATCCCCTGAAAATAAGCCCTAATGCGTTTTTTTTGGGGGGGGGAGCAAAAATTAATATAAGACCCTGCCTTAGTTTCAGGGAAACGCAGTATTCTTTCACCTCCACTCAAACCTGTACAAAACCCTGCAAAACTCATTTTACCAAAGGAGAAATTGGGCTCAATAGACATGCCACTGTCAGCAATCCATCTTTTGTACTGCTACTGTTGCTCTGAAAAAAAATGAAAGAAAGGCTCTGACTGAGGGCTTGGCCAAATCACCAAGTTGTCCCAAGTGACTAGATTATTGCTTCCCATCATTGTTTCCTTTGGATACTACCGAAGTGAGGAAAATCGCATGGGAACTTCATGCGGTAATTAGGAAGTGGAGGTGCAGACTTGTGCAACAACCAAGATTTGTCCCTCCCACAAAATTCCTTCATTCCATATATTTTCAGAGTAGTGTGGAATAAGTGGTGAGGGCACACTCCAGACAAAGCTGCTACTGATAAATCTCTCCCAAGCACAACGCAGTGAGGCTGTATCAGCCATGCTCTTGTGTATAGTAGAGAAAGAGAAGGAAAATCATGAAGCCTTTTTCTGTATTTGGGGGATGGGGGGGGGATAAATTCTGCAATCTAAATTAGTTACAGAGGAGTCTCTGCATTTGCAGAAATCACTATGCTGAAAATGTAGAAAGGCCAAGTATATACAGATAAATGGGTGATTTAAAAAAAATGGCTGTCTAATTGCACATTCATATTTTCTCATTGTATAATAATTTTTCTACTAGTTGAATACTGATTTGTCACAGGTTAAAAGCCTCTGAAGTCTACACTCAGTATGAAACACACACTGAGAGTGTTGTCTTCTTGCTGTTTCTGATGTGTGTTCATGTATTTCACCATGACTCTATACCCCATGGCAACGTACGTACCCTCTGAAAATCACACTGAACCTGTGCTGAAATGTTCATGTCTTCCAGTTAAGAACCAAGCTCGCTGGGTTCAACAGTTTATCTCAGACATGTCCAACTTATACTTGAATACCAAGGATGCCAACTTCAATGTTATCCTTGTGGATTTTGATAGCGATGACATGGATGTGGAGAAGGCCCTTCAGAAGGCTCACCTGCCCAGGTAATTTGAACAGTAATGGAACCTCTGGAACCTTTTTGGTGGAGTGCTTTTTCTAAACCTGCACAGCTCAGTCTCAAAGCTGCCTGTCTGCTCTGTGATTTGAACTGCTAACGCTGTCCAAACACATTACTTCATGTCATACAGTCAGTACAGTTAGCCTCTTGGGAGATGACTAAGGCTGTTTAAATAAAATGTAATGCTTGATTTTCTCCCCAGACTTTCCAGCTTCATGCATGACTAGACTATTTTATTAAATCTATGTCTGAGAAAGGAGATATGAATAAGCAAAGGGTATCAGCTGAAATGCTTTGGTACAGGGTAAAAAACAAGCAGGACAATGAATATTAATCATGACGACTCTGTGTCTGTCAGTCTGTCTGTGTTCCAGGCTACAGCCACTTCATTCAGTCTCTGTTTTAGTGATATCCTTAACATATTGGCTATTGTCAGATACCAAGCTGACAACTTAATCTGCACATTTTGCTTTGCTTTGCTTTGATCAGACTAATTGATAAATTAAGGCTGCAGGAGAGCTGAAAACACTAGAACTTGTGAATCAGCTTGCATAAGATTGCACTGTTGTTTACTCCACTTTCCTCCTATTTGGAAGCATGCAGTGCTTCAAGGCCACTTATAGCTATATGGCACTTTGTTCTCCACTAGGTTCTCCATCTCCTGATCATCTCTGCACATTTTTTTCCTGCCGGTTGTTATTGGTGTGCATCTTCTTCACAGGTATCAATACTTGAAGCGTACTGGAAACTTTGAACGCTCAGCTGGACTTCAAGCTGGGGTAGACTCCATTGAGGTGAGAATTTTAAGGGGGGAGATATGAGGATCTTCCAGAATTGTTAACCATTCAGTTTTCTCACATGGGTCATCTGTGCTGCTCTTTCATCCTTTAGGATGGTAGTAGTATTGTGTTCCTGTGTGACCTGCACATTCACTTCCCACTCAACATCCTAGACAGCATCCGGAAGCATTGTGTAGAGGGGAAACTGGCCTACGCACCCATCGTCATGAGACTGGGTTGTGGGAGCTCTCCACAAGAACCCAATGGTAAGGCAGAGTTGTTGCTTTGAGAAGCCAGACTCCACATGCAAGGCTGCCTCTCTCCCACAGTGAGCTATCATTGTGGAGTTTAAATGGACAGCCTCCTGGCACAGCTGTCCTGCCCTGGTTTCCAACTAATTTTCTTACAGGAAGCCTCAAGCCCTCACGCTTAGAGACACAAACGTCGTAGGTAGAAAAACAATACCTCACCTTAAAACTTCTTTTTCTGTTCCTCTGAAATGTTAACATGACTCACTGTGGTTATCTGAGAATAGAACACGGACACTGAGTATCTCAAAGAGCTTAAGCATAGTAAGCATTTAGAAACGCTGATATTATACTCTGTGCTTTTACGTTAAGTAATCGGAGTAATATAAGCTGCAATAATATTATTAAGAAGTTGAAAGCAAAAAAGTGGGAAAGCATTTTTGAATATTATGGTTATAATACTGTAAGTTTTGTCTTATTATTTCTCTGTTTTGCTTATTGCAGTTGTATGCAATGATATGATATCCCCAAGAAAAACTAATTCTCAAAATTGTCCCTACCCATTTTCCTTTCTACATTCCCTATTCTTTTTGAGAAAAGAAGAAGCTACTTTGTAAACTTCAGCTGAAACTTGACATGGCTCCTGTCAGGCCCCTCAAGTCCACACAGAAAGGCCAAACCATTTGCCTGACGGCAGTGCAGCAAATTCAGAACAGAGATCTGGATGGAGTCTAGGCCAGTGGTTCTTAACCTTTGTTACTCGGATGCTTTTGAACTGCAACTCCCAGAAACCCCAGTCAGGACAGCTGGTGGTGAAGGCTTCTGGGAGTTGCAGTCCAAAACTCCTGAGTAACCCAAGATTAAGAACCAGTGGTCTAGGCTTTGACTTCCTTCTTGGGAAACCTGACTTTTCTGCTTGTACCTAAATGGTTTTGACATGAAAAGCCCTAAATAGTAACACTGCCATTGGAAGCTACAGCATGGGCAGAGGGAGATATTCAGAAAGCATCTACCTGTTTTAATGGAAGACTTACAGAAGAGAAAGCAGTTCAAAAGCATGTAAAAATACGGGTAGATAAATACATAGGTACCATCATTGTGGGAAGGTAACAGCGTTCTGTGTCTAGTTGCGCTGGCCACGTGACCATGGAAACTGTCTACGGACAAATGCTGGCTCTGTGGCTTGGAAACAGGAATGAGCACTGCCCCCTAGAGTCAGATGCAACTGGACAATTTGTCAAGGGGAACCTTTACCTTTACAGAAGAGAGTGTGTATATACTAAGATTGATATCAAATGGCAAACTATTGCCTCAGTGAGATATGCATAGTTCCTGAACTGTTCAAGATGCCTGAGCTTTGTGCAGGAGCCATTCATTTCTGCCACTCAGCTGAAATCTATTCCATATATTCAAATACTGCATTGAATATGTGTGACAGAGTTGCACCAGGAAAGGTTGCGGGATGGGTAGTGTCTTTCTTCCAGCTAAGCTGGGCTCAAGGACAACATCTTTGCGGGTTGGAGCACTTGTAGCTTTAGGCAGAGACCTAGGAAGCAGAATCCTTCCAGCAAGTTACATAAAGCATCTGGCAAAGAACTAGAGTCAAGGTCTGAAAATTTTCAAACGGGAAGGCAAACCAGTATTTTATTTATTTATTTATTTGATTTATATCCCGCCCATCTGGTCTATATGACCACTCTAGGCGGCTTCCAGTGTAACATAAATACAATAAAATAACACAAAAATATTACTTAAGACAACCAGTAACAAATTTCAATACAAAAATAGAGTAAGTAGTAAATAAAGAGATAATAAAAGAAAATCAAGTGTTGACAGGAGGGAAGGCCTGAATATACATCCATGTTTTTAGTTGACTTTTAAAGGTAGTAACCACAAACAGAGAACATCCAGGAAGGATGGGCAAGCAGTCCAAAAACTATACACAACAAGAAGTTCAACAGCAAAGGTCAACATACACCGCAGGTGTGATCAGACAAAAAGAGATATTGTCTTTAAAAAATCCAATCCCAGCATAACATTTATATAAACATTTTGCTTAAATCCCACCATAGGTACCATCATTGTGGTCAAATGCTGGTCAGCATTTGACCAGCAAAGGAACTCTGTTGCAGGACTTGCTGTCTCACTAAGGAGGAGTTTTCACTCAAGAAGTCTCCTGCTATCAAGGAGTCCTCTTCTCCTGAGGAGTATTTCCCTGATCACTCTGCCTGGAGGCCTTTCTCCCACAGCACTCTTGTGGGCTTGGCAGTGGTCCAGACAGAGTCATTTTCTGAGAGTTTAGCCTGCTTGGCCTTCAATGATCTACTTCACAATATAAAGTTCATATTATAAACTAAAGGTGCAGGACCCTTGGTTCAAATTTATGACCACAGTGGATGGGTGTTTAAAAAAAACGTTGCTTCCTTGTTAGAATCCCAATCCAGATGAGAATTCTTGCATTTCTGTAGATTAAAAAGAAAAAGGAAGTATAGTTGCAACCTACATCTTCAAAATAATATATGCTTTTGGTTTGCAAATGTCTGAAAAGAATGTTCAGGATGTGCTTTCCCTCCCTATGCTCATCCTCTTTTCACCTTCGGGGCAGAGGTAACAGAATTCTCCTGCCCTCCTTTTCAGCTTGCAACTCTGGAAAGAACCTTTCCTTTTCCAGAAATGGGGTTATCCCCCTCCCCATGTTATTTGAGTAAGGTCATTTGAGTTGGGCTTGTTAGAGTTGGCTGGATCGTTCAGTGAGTTGGGTGTGTAGCTGAGGAGCCAGAGGTTGGGAGTTCAGTTCCCCGTGGTGCCTCCTGTGAGCACAGCCAGCCTGGGTGGCCTTGGGCAGGCTGCACGTCCCAGGGTGCCCCCAGAAGAAGGGAACAGTAAACCACTTCTTAGTATTCTAAGGCCCACTGCTACTTAGCAAACCCTGAAAAAGTGTCTCCATAAGTCAGAATTGGCTCAAGGGCACACTATTATGTTTGTTAAAGATATTCCATCTCCTTCCAGCACACCTGGTGTAATGCACCTAATCCACTTATGTGTTGTCAGCCAGTGACACGCTAGATGTGTGGTATACGTTTAAGAGGATTTAAGAGTAGAAAATCATTTCTTTTTAATCACAGGTAGTTGGCTTACATTAGAGCTATGGTGTTCTTCTGCTAGGGGGAACAGCATAAGAACAGCTGGATTCTGCCATGTTTGATTAATTGATTGACATTTTTATATATTGCTTTTCCAGTTTCTTCATTTACAAACAATAGCAAAAAATAAATAAAACAAGAACAAAACCTAATCAATTCCTATAAATTACATATACTAAATTATCATGTTTCTTTTGCATAGTTGGTGTTTCTCTTAGCTCTGGGGAGAGACACAAGAGATCTGCAAGATATCAAAGTGCCATTCCTGGTCCTTGAAAATGCTGCTTAGGTTTCTGTTTCATATTCCCTCACCTTCTCACATGTGCACGCATGCATTGTGGGGGGAAGAGAGAGGATGTATACATACACACATGCTCTATCTTTTGAATCCCAAGGTACTAGCTACACATTTCAAACCTGCCTTTGTAATCTTAACAGCAAAAATTGACTTGATTTTTAAAAGGGGATTTTCAGCCTGCTAAATTCTAGACCTATACCAGATTCCACATTTGTGAGGCATATTCATGAAAATAAAGCATCCTGAAGAGAGGAAGTTGTCTTGTACAGTCACACCATTAGTCTATCTATTTCAGAATACTTCACACTTCCTGGGACCTGCTTTCTCAGGTGTCAGGGAAGATTTTTCCCAAGGGTTTCTTGGGGATGCCAGTCACTGAACCTGGGGCCCATATACCTAGAGAACGCATCCTTTGCCCGAAAGCTGTGGCCCTTCCCAAACCTTGTCAGGCAGTCTTCCATTTCGTTGTTAACTAGGTCTACTTTGGCTTACCTTCCAAGATCAGATGGGAATAGGCATGTTTTACCATACAATAACCATGGCCTAAGCAGCTCTTAGTTTTCTAGATGCAAGCTAAAGGGGATAGCTGTCTGTCTAGCTTCATATGTGAAGGCTTCCCAGGAGTCTCTTCCTGGCTACTGCTGAGGGCAAAGTCCTGGATTAGGCGGAACCTTCATCTGAACCACAGAGGAAAATGATTTAGTTCTTAATAGAGGGGTTTACTCTGAAAGGCAGCATGCAAACATTCATGTAGCTTTTGTCAGAGCCAGGAAAAGTTACATTTTTGGACCATATTTCCCACACTGGCCATGGGGAGTTCTGGGATGTATAGTCCAAAAAAAGTAAAATTTCCAAGTTCGGTTTTATCTTGTTTTATGTATTATTGCCAGATCTTGTAGTTTTCTGCTGCTATTTAATTTTAAAATTATTAGGAAAAGCTTGAGATCGCTGCAAGGAAAACCTGTACAGTGCAATGTACTACTTCTGCCTTCATATGTCTTTTCTCAGTGGAAGTGATATATTCACAAAACTTGTTCCATCATGTGAAGGAGAGGTGGACATCTTGCAGAGATGACTTCAGAGGCCCACTTCTAGATGATTATGAAGGAGAACAAACACAAACACAGTACAGTAGTCTAGTTGTGCCGGTTCAATAATGGAGAATTGTTCAGTTCTGAAGAATAAGAAGACCAAAAAAAAAAAAAAAAAAAAANCGAAGTACAACTGCATGCAAAGTTCTCTGCAGGTGGAAAGCTTACATAGTCTTTTACTGAGCCAAACTGACACAATACGTTATCTCTGTATCTGTTCTGTATCTGCAAGGGGTAACATGATTTGGGGGCAGCAAAAGGGACCAGAGACCAGGACTGTCTCTGCTTTGAAGTTCAGCCTTGTTTCCATATCAAGATCAAGGGCTCATTCTCGTCTCATTTTTCTCAGGCTACTGGGAAGTGAATGGCTTTGGACTCTTTGGAATCTATAAATCCGACTTTGATCGCATCGGAGGGATGAATACCGAAGAGTTCCGGGACCGCTGGGGTGGGGAGGACTGGGAGCTCTTGGACAGGTGAGGTGGCCTACAGTCACAGAAGTCTTTCCTGCCGAGGTGGAGGTATAGGGTTATATACATGCCAAGGCAGATTGCTTACCCAAGCAGACAGCTGCAGATAAATGGCACAAAGGTGTGGTTTTAGGTCTCACTATACTTTTTTCCTCTCCAGGCAGTAATTGCAGGGAGGGGCAGGAAACAGGGAAAGCCAGTCAGCAGCATGCAGGCAGATTCAGTATATAGATCGTAAATATTCCTACAGATGTATCATGTATTTAGGTTTAGACTATTCAGGGAAAGGCATTGAATTTTCCGGCCATCCTAATTTAATACTTCTTTTTATCTAAACGACAAACAGCAATCCAGTTTCAATCTTCTCTCTCCTGCCATGTCATTTTGCAGTTAAATTATTTGGAAGCTATGTGTTCTCCTATTGTATCACACAACTAGCCACATTTCTAACAGAGAAGGGCACATTGCAGTACAGCTGTCCTTTATTCTCCCAAGCAAAGCTATACAGCTGCCATCTATGTGGACAGGATTTTGTTCCATTGCCTTTGAAAAGGCCCCGGGGCTTTCATGCAAAATCTGAAATGTGATTGCAGCCTGCTGTGACTGTGCGGAAATGCCCTTAGGCTGTCAGTCGGCTTGAAAATTTTCTTTTCAAGAGACATATACCATTTTCCAGCCCCTGTTGTAATCTGCTAAGGGCTGGAAGGCTGCATTCACCTTTGATTTTAACCTCTGTTTGATAAAAGAAAATCTGATCCTCCTAGGTTTTGCAGCAGGGATTCAGGGTCTCTCTGTCCCTAATTTGCATTGGAAGCGCAGGAAATGGAAAAACTCACAGATTTTCCCTTAGTTGTTAGATGTGTTGTCCACCCATTATTCTTCTTTTCCAGAGCTTTCCACAGCCCAAAATATGTTCAGTAATTTTCTATGGCCTTTTTTGCAGAGTAACAGAGAAAAGTAAGAGGGAAAAAAACCTCTGAAGGGGAAGAACCGTCAGTTTCAAAGTTCAGTGGGATTGGTGCCAGCAGGGCAAAAGTGGGAGGGGCTGTTGGAGGAAAAACCGGATGCAAAGTGTGCTGCATACATTATATACTGTCCCACAGCACTGGGCTGTTAACAACTTAATTATACAGACTACACATCTCCCCCACCGCCAAGCAAGCTTTCAGCCTTGGAAAGATAAAAGGCTGAGTCAACCTTGAATTGGCTACCTGAGCCCATTGGGACTGAACTCAAATCATGAACCAAGTCTCGACTGCCATTTAGCCACTGCCCCACAAGGCTCCTTATCTGGTGAGTCAAGTAAGGTGTTTCCATGCCTGCAAAGAGGTTTCTGAAAGTGGCTCACTTTCAGGCATAGAAGGGCTGTATCATCCTAGGGCCCCTGGGTCACTCTTCAAGGCATCATAGAATGGCAGTCTATACGGATTGGGAGGCTTTGGTATCCAACAGTGGACTTTCCTTGGACCATTCCTCTTCCATTCTCCTCCTAATGTTAGGGTTGGGGTTGCTATCCCATAACAGCAAGCCTCATTCCCCATGTACTGAGTTCTGGTCCTCTTTGCTGTGCTGCATTGGGAATTATAAGGGAAAATACTGATGTTTTCTTATTCCTTTGATTTCAGTTACCGAATTTTATGCATTTATCCATTCACTTATAGTTTGTGAACCACTTTTTAGGGCATAATGGATCTCCCAGGATAGTGTACAAAATATCGCATATATAAATAATAATAAACTAATTATATTAAAATGACAATACAGAAATTGATAAGATACAAAGAATTAATATCAGTGGTTAGTATAAAGAAGCGTGAAACACAAAGGCTTTTTCAGTTTTCTCCTTAAATTTCCAAAGGTGAACAAAATACATTTCCTGGGCAGTGAATCCCATAGGTATGGAGCCACCACACCAAAAGCACGGTTGCTTGTAGCCATCATGTTAACAGTTCTTATCAGTGGGTCAGATATTGCCATCTTAATAGATTATTATAAAGGTAGAGACTAGGGGTGGCAGCTTCTTCAGGACTACAGGCCTTTTTCAGATTGGCCAGCAACTTCTGGGTTGCACTTTCATCAGAAAAGGTGTGCCCAGAATAGCTAATTCGCTTTAAAAAGAACTAACGGACTATTTAAGAAAAAAATCTTCTCTCCCAACTGCAGATTGAAGTTTGTGTATTAACAGTGCCCTGGGGATAGCGAAAGTGTCCATGAAGGCCATATGAATACCTGTGGGTGGCCTTTTTCTCAGTCTTGCTGTGAAGGGTAACATTTAAAATTGTTTTGTACTTTATCTGTGATGCAACCTAATCTTAAAACCTACATTACTAAGAATGTACATACTGCATCTCTTCCATGTTACTAGTGTGTGAGAGAGCCTCAAGAAGTGGTTCACTGACATATCTTATAGTGATCCACGTTTTTAATTAATCTTACATTGGGAGAGCTAAATGACAGTCATTTCCCCCCCCTTCCTCTTTTCCAGGGTGCTTCAGAGTGGGCTGGAGGTGGAACGTTTGCGACTCAGGAACTTTTACCATTATTACCATTCCAAACGTGGCATGTGGAATTCACGCAGCAAGAAGACACCCAAAGACTAAATGCCAGCCCAGCTGCCGTCCACCAAGCCCCCCACTCTTGGCCTTCTTCAGGAGGTAAAAGGGAGGCAGCAGCCACCTCAACTTTGCTGCCACAACTCAGCACAGTTTTCACAAGTGCTGAAGATGCACTTCTGGACGCAGCACCGGTTGGAGGCCTGCGCTGGGGCGCCTGGGATTGAGAGTTTCTATGGAACTGTTTAAAGCAAACCATGTTTACTTTTGGATTTATTTGTTTTTGTGACTTTTCTTAAGGGATCTAATTTCTTAGTCAGAAGTTACATTTATTAACTCAGTAGTGCTGACTGGTCAGGATTCCTGCTAAGGCAAGAATGGGACAAGCCCTCCAGTATTAATGCCAGCCAAGATGTAGCTGGAGCTACAAAATAATTAAACAGATGTCAGGGGAAGATCACAGTGGTTCTGTGGTTCACATGCCTTGTAGTGTCATGTCCTAGCTTTAGTCTGTAAAAAATGAGCCTGGGAGAAGCAGAGTAAGGAGACTCTTTGGTATGGCAAACTATGTTCATTCTTGAGGGGCTTGGGGCCTCCCTCCTTGTTCATCTGAACCCGGCACTCAGGACAGTTCAGCATCTTGAGTGGATTTAAAGGGAGGGGAGGCTCTGGTCAAAAGAAGGGTATGTGTCAATTTTTCCTGTATTATTCTGGATTTATAATTCATGCTAACCCTGCTTGGGTTCGCCTCTTATTTAGCCTTAGGCAGATATAGCCCCAAGGTTCAGGCCCGTGGTTTTTTTTTAAACCTATATACCAGTTTCTGTGGCTAATGAAAGAACTGATAATAACTATCAGTCTATGCTCTTATGCGAAGATGGAGGCAGGGAATATTTGTTTCCCTGGGAAGCAAGACAAAATGGCAATCACTACAAGATGCATTTCTCTTGCTAAAGGAACTGGCTTGTGCAAGTGGCTTGTGCTTCCTATTCTTCCACATATCCAATCAAAATAAAGAGATGCACGGGACACTGCTAAGAGGACATCTTCCAGGTGGGAATGTTATAGTGCTCTCTTTAGACACATTGCAATTGGTCAGGAACAAGAAGCATGAGGCACTCCCACTTCCTTTGCCTTCTGCAACATTGTTGCATCTGAACAAACTGTGCCCTCCTCATTCCCTTCCCTCCTTCATCTGTTATTTGGTGTTTGTTTTTTAACAGTGTGGAGCAAGAGTTACTTTCTAGAGCATTTGAAATGGTGACGGGGACAGAATGGATGTGTTTCACCAGAACCATCAGCAGAGGAGAACTAAGAGTGAAGAACAACTATGGGGAACCCATAAGGGCTGAATTGCTAAGTAAACCTAAGGGAGTTATCATTGCCCACTTGTCACCATTCATACAGCCAAGCTAATGGGGAAAAAAAGTAGTCACACTTTTACACCATGAGCAACATCACCATGCCTGCAAAAAGCTCTCTCACTTAGGGACAGGATGCTAGGAAAGATGGAGGTAGGCTGGGCTATGAATGAATGAATGAACAAATGAATGAATGAAAGAATGAATGGACAGACTCATTAGGAAGCTACTCCAGTTTTACTCCAGCTAACCTCCTCCATTCACCCCCCCAAAAAAAACAAGCATGAAGAGTAGTTGAGGTTTCGGTACCCACCAATTTTTTCCTAAATTTGCTGTGCTTAGAGTATCACAAAGAAATGGTTCAGGAATCAAAGGAGGGGAGGGCAAAACAATATTTCCAAGCTAATTTCTGTGAAATTATGAGGTAGAAAGCTGTTTTCAGAAAGTTATGTCTGGTTTTGCTTTTTATTTTTATTGATATTGTTATTAAAAAATAAATGTCTTGGTTCTGATTTTCCCAGGTGTCTATTTTGGTGCCTTGCAAATACATGTGAAGTGATAGTAATAGCCACTTCTTCAGCTGCCCTGTTGTCCACAAAGATCCTTTCCTACCCAGTCATGTAGCAGTGTCAGAAGATTACGTTGTGCCAGTACTGGCACACTCAACTATTGCTTAACATAGGCAATCTAGAGAGTATTTGCAACTGACCTGTAGGTTTAGGCTACAGTCCTTTAACCAATATTAGAACTTACTTTCACGTTAACAGGCTCTCTACCAGCAAGTACAATTCGCATCTACTTCAGGTAAAAATATTAGTGCCATCATCCAAGCAATGCAATCTTACTCAGATAATTATTTTGACTTGATAATTAAACAATTGTATTTGTTGTGTTCCATTGAGTCACTTCTGACTTATAGTGACCCTAATGGACCTTGAGCTTTAAAGAGTCATTTATTGTTGCCACTTCTCAACAGTGGCCAAGTAAGGATTTGAATCCTGTGTCTCAGTACATCCACTATACCATGGTAGCTCTCGTGATTGAACAGCTAACTAATTAAATATGCTTGTGAATAAAACGAGAGATCTGAAGGAGCATAAACTTAGAAGATCAGGCAAAAACAAAATAAAAAACAAAGACAAAAATGTTGCAGCACCTTAAAAACAAGCTACTATATTTTAATGTGAGCTTTCATGAACAAGTCCACTTCCTTTTAAAAGAGCTGTTCTTTCTTGTGTGAGCAAGAAAGGGGAGATCTCTTTCACCTGTCATCTTCCGTGTTTTGCAAATTGTTTTATATATTTTAATTGTATGGTAATAATGTGCTGTCAAAGCAATTCAGGCTTGCGGCAACCCTTTTCAGGGATTCTTAGGTACAGAGAAATTCCCTTCTTCTGGGAGTGTCCTGAGACCGTACAGCTTGCCCAAGACCACACACAAGCTGGCTCTGCTCCCAGGGGGCCCAGTGGGGAATCGAACTCCCAACCTCTGGCTTCACAGCCAGATACCTAAACCCCGAGCTACCCAGTTTTTTTTTAATCTACTGTCTAGTTAACTGAGGAATGCTTTAGTCAAAAGTTTTAAATCGATGGCTCGATTAATTAAGTAAATCTTGCAGGCATCCCTAGAAAATAACGTACTCAAAACATGACCCTAATCCTACTGAAGTCAATCATAACTGTGGTTTTGCACTGAGATCCGTATTCCTTTCTGCATCAGAAGACAAATCCAGCCAGTTGAATTGCCACTAGATAATCCATCATGAAATGGATGGGATTGTGAATTATAATATACATCTGTGCCAGCAGCTTTCAGCTTCTCTGGACAGATTTCTTGTAAAGCACAGCATATTTGTCACAAATGAATACCTGTGGAAAGTTACAGATAGGATTCTGTCTTGTGTACCAGAAAATCTTCCATTCCTGGAGTCATATTTGCAGAAACCTGGCCTGTGCCAGGACTGGGGGTTTCTTTACCCATTTCCAAATCTACAGCTTTTTTCAGCAAGTGTCTCTTGTTTGCCTTGTGGACAAAACTGTTACTCAAGGTGTAAATAAACAAAGTCACATAATCAAATGTAACAAAAACAAAATGTCAGGCAGTTCAATTTGTTTCAGCCACAGACTGTCACGAATGTTTTGCTACAAACCAAGCACAATGGGAAAATGTCAAAAGTGGAGCAGAACAAAGTATTCTATTTCCACGTTTGCACTCTATATCCACAAGAGGCAAATGACTTGCAAGGAAGGTGGATAAAGACAGTACGAACAATGTAAGCTCAAACCCAGCCGTCGATTCCAGATTTCATTAACATCAACATTGCCCTGTCTTGCTACACAGGTTTCTTCCTGCCCTGCTAGGGTCGGGTGTGGTCACACTTAAACTCTATCAAGCTTTCAGGATTATATTTAGAACCAAAGACAAGAAAAAGGCAAACAGGCGACACCACTAAGCAGAATAAACAAGGGGAACAGGCCAGACCCCCTATCCCAGGTGCTAGAGGAGAGTACATTGGACATGGAGAATGTGTCTTTACGTATTTTGGGGTAAACACACAGTATTCAGGAGACAACTCCATTAATTTCTTTTACAAGATAATGTTGCACTTTACTGTCTCTGGAAAGTCCCAACTGAGGCTGCTTCTGGATGGAAGCTGCATATACCAAAAGGCAATTTAAAAGCTGCCAAATTACCACAGTTTGCTAAGAGCTTGAAAGTAATTAATAACAAAGAAAGAGCTGCTTCTTGGGATCCCCCACACACAAACACAAAGCAAGGAATAAATATGTTTCTGTTTGGAAGTAACTAAGAAGAAACTGTTTTAATTATTTACGTAAGGATTAGCGGGTTAGCCTGTTGCAGCAACGCCTACTGAAAGTCTTGTAACATCTTGAAGATTGGCAGGTTTTATTTGGCAAATGCTTTCCTGAAGATCAGACCACTTTTTCAGATACATTGGAAAATACGTCTGAAAAAAATGGATTAAAAATCCATGGAAGCTTCTGTCAAATAAACACTTAAGTCCCTGAGGTGTCTCAACACTTTTCATCAATGTATTTATTTTTGAGCAATAACATGTGAATTTTATTTTTGAAATATCAACTGTGCTGCTAATTACTGTACGTGCAACTAAATATATATATGCAAAATTTCATCAGAGATGGAATAACCATGTTCATTTTCAGGAGTAAGAAAACAGTCTTATGGAATCTTAAAGACTAACAAGTATTCACAATCAGCTTTTATGGACTACAGCCCACTTGCATCTGATAAGCCTAAGTAACACTGTATCGTTCACAGCAGCAGCACTGAAACACTTCAGTGAGTAAATCCCTTTGCACGTAGAGGTGTTTGCAGGCACTTGAAGCAGCCAAGTGGAGTCATTATTCTCGAACAAACCCACATGCATGCAAGTCGGTGCTCAGGGCCTTTCCACCTGTATCCCAAGTCTCTTGCTTGGCCATGTTCCTTCTTCATAGAATAAAGCTTTTCTCCTGCAACACCTATCAAGGTGACCCCAGGTTTATGGTCTCAATTCTTTAAACACAGGCTCCTTAGTTTTGGGAGCTGAATCTCAGCATATGGTTGAGGCTCTTTTCTCACCAACGAGACCTTCATCTACTGCCAGTGCTGACAAGCCCCAAACCTTCCTCACTATTTCCTTGCTTTGGAGATTATAGATCTACAAGGATTCCATCAGCATCTTGATGCACCACCCGTCACTCATCTCGTCCGGGTCAACATCATTCATAGTCACTGGCACTGTTCAGTCCACTTGACAACATTGTTAAGTGTAAAAGGGGAAGTGGTTTGGATAAGCAGGGATGAGTTATCTTTTATCCCCACAGAAAAACTGTTCAACACCAAGCTGCTTTATTTGCACAACACAACAGGTAGATGGGTACAGCTGGAAGCAATGAGATAGGCAGATAAGATACCAGTAGTAAAAGCAGATTGTCACAGACAAAGCTGCATTATCCAAAGAACCTAAAGAGCCTGCCACTTTTTAGCAGCTAGTACTGTTCTGCAGGCACATTTGCAGAAGCAAAAAATGGAGAATGAAGTGGTGAGGTACTGTAATATTGCACATTACACAATTGGTACCCAGTGAGGTTTAGTGGATAGATTGATGGACTAGAACTCAGAAGACCTGAGTTTGAATCCACCCTTAACCATGGAAACATCCCAGGACACAGTCAGCAATGTAAAGCTGCTCTGTAATATCTCACCTTGAAAGCCACATTAGGTTCACTGCAATTCAGCTCTCACTTGATGGCCTATACATACTAGACAGTAGAATATGCGGCGTTGAATAGTTCAAGAAATGGGAACCCAAACATCACAGAAATGGGGTTCACAAACACTGTTTGAAATGGGGCACAAAAGAACTTATTGGAAATAGAGGCAGTTCCATTATCAAACAATGGAAGGCAAGGGAGCAACCCAAACATGAGATGTTTTGGAGTTCCCTTTTAAACTTATCATGACCATCAACTGCAGGTGTCATTAGAATGGAAGGTAGACTTTAAAAGGGCCATTCTTGGTTTTTCACTGGTTATTTCTACAGAGAAAAGTATTTATTGCATGAGGAGTGTTTCTCAGGTGACATAGAAAGCCATTCCCAGCCATTCCTTGCACGTCAGCAAGCCAAGATCATTCCATTCCATCAACATTCAATTTCACGGCTCCCATTAACACACCACCTAGCAGGCTGTGTCCCATCAGCCCTTCACCACCACCACCAATCAGCGTGAGTGACTTAGAACATCTAGAACCAGAGGGGCTGGGGTGTTTGCTGTGATCATGCTCTCATACAAATGCAGTCCCAGATGGAAGGGATGGAGCCCTCCTAAGTCTGAGAAGCAGTTAATACAGCTAATATATGTGTTATTCTGCATTTTTTTTTAAGTTGGGGAAAGACATGATGCAAGTTACTAATAATAAGTGTGCACCACCAAAGCAATTCTGACTTATTGCAACCTTTTTCAGTGTTTCCTAGGTGGAAAATATTCAGCAAGTGGTTTCCCATTCACCTCGTCTGGGGGCACCCTAGGACTGAGCAGCGTGCCCCAGGCCATACGAGGTCACTCCTCTCCTAGGACACACAGAGGGGAACTGAACTCCCAACCTCAGGTTCTGCAACTCGAGACCTAAGCTAGCGCTGAGCTATCCAGCCAGCTAGCTACAAGTTGCTAGGGCCAGCCTTTTTTCCTCTCCAAAATCTGACGGTGGATGGAAACTAAACAATGTGCAATCTTTTCAAGACAAAACAACAACA